GGGGGGGGAGACTGTAATAACCCGACCCTCGTACATGTTTTCTGATAGACTTTCAGTCCCTTATTCTATGCATTTAAATGCTTAATGTAAAATTTCATGAGAAATTAAGTTTAAGCACATGGATCTTATGATTTGAAACCATATCTGTTTAGTAAGGAAAACATCTATCACAATTAAAAATGTTTGAATCAGAAATGGAGGGCCTTAGAGACTTGATAATCCGAAATTGATTTTATATTTGAAATCAGCGTAATTTTAAAGTAATAATAAGCATTGCTGTGAAATTTCAATTTAGGATGATTAAATGATTTATTTTTTTCCTATTCATTTCTTATAGATATATGTGTGTTCTTTAACCATTTGACTTAAGAATTCCTAGCTTAAAAAAATCTCCTGAGAGAAAGAAACTAGAGGGGAACTTCTTCAAGATCAAAATTGGATAATTTAGAGGGAATTCAAGAGTATTAAGCTTAAGGTAAGTCTAACCCATCTAATTCCACTTTCTTTCCTTGCTTTAAAGTAGGAATTTCTTGATGTGGTGTGGGTTGAAGTTGTGATGGGATTCATATATTTGACTAAATGGATGCATGTGTGTGAGTGTGTGGGTGAGGAAGTTGGGAATATTATGTAATTGAATTTTGTTATGAGCTTTAGGAATTAAAGATTTGATTCATAATTGGATTGTTGTGTGTTTGTGAATCTTGGTAACATGATTTTGAACCATATTTCATCAATTAAAAGATCTATTTTGAGCCTCAAGAATACTCACCAAAAATTGAGTTTTGCTGAAATTTCGAACTATAATCTGTGCAGATCGTCGCACGTGCGGGGCTCACAGCCGCATGTGCGGCCCAAGCTGCAAAAGTTTGTTCGCCCCGTTTTGCGTGCTTAACCCTCTAGTATTTTTGAAATAGGTGTTTGATGTCCCTAAGATGCCTATAAATTCATTCGAAGTAAACTGAAGCAGGAAAGGAATTAAGAAAGCAAAAGAACTAATGACTAAGTTATGTGTGTGTACAGGGCACACTCCAAGAGGGGCAAGCACTCCGTTGTAGCACTGTGAGTAGTAGTACGGTAGTCGTACATTCAATTATCGTTAATGATTCCTATAGTTAACATTCTGTTCCTTGCATGCAATCATGTTAATAGTATTGATTGGAAAATCTAAGGGCATTGTTGCGCAGTACATTTTATTTACTGTTGATAAAGAATACTAACGTTATTTGCAAGATAGCTGTAGTGATTCATGGCGAACCAAGGGAACGTATAAGCATTATGGAACCATGGTATTCATGTATCCCTGATATTATTCAATCTGTACAATCTGCTTCAGGAATGTCCTGTTAGACTTAAGTTAACTATGTTAACTCATGTGAATGTTGTAATGGTTACTATTAGTACTCTGTTGATTGCAAGTCAACTATGTTAACATATATGAACGATCAAACAAAGGTGTATGCTTCTATGTGCTACTGATTAATAGATCAAGTGAACTACGCCGTTCTTAAGGAATAAAGAGAAATTATGTTCATTCTTGAAGAACGGATTTGAGTAAATATGAGACAGTTATAGGTTATCAAGGGTAGACATCTTCGAAGAATCAGAATAATTGGAAAGCTATATGTATTCGTGTGAATTGGAAGTTATTCAGAAACCACAACATAAGGGCAAACGTTTAACATTTTTATGTAACCCTCGTGAGAATGTGAATTATTCTATCTTTGTTAAGCGTACGATAATAACATGATATGACAAGAAATGCTCTATTTTCTAACATGTTACGTTTGACTCACTAAAAGATTGCTCATTCATATAAAGGTATTCAAGACATCCTTAGCACAAGACCCTTACCCGGGGGTAATAATACCGTAGTTCACGTATGTTACAAGTTCACATATATTACAAGTTTACGTATGTTACAAGTTTAAGTCTGTTACAAGTTAAAGGATGTTACAGGTTTCCTTTATGGAACTAACAAGAATGCTTTATATTGATTTATTAACGCTATTGAAGTGCCAGGTATAACTAAGTATGAATTATGATTTTTGTTTATGATTCAAGCATAACATATCTGCCATCATGCAAGTTGGTCCGACAAAGTGCTCGAGTGTTTAAACCCTAATGCATGAGAAATGGCAAATAAACACCATAATTACATTTCTGCCATCATGCAAGAGGTTCCGAATAAGTGTTCGAGTGTTTAAACCCTAATGCATGAGAAATGGTAAGTAAACACCATAATTACATATCTACCATTGTGCAAAAGGGTCCGAATAGGTAACTCAGTGTTTAAACCCTAATGCATGAGAAATGGCAAGTAAACACTATAATTACATATCTTCCATCGTGCAAGAGGGACCGAATAAGTGTCCGAGTGTTTAAACCCTAATGCATGAGAAATGGTGAGCAAACTCTATAATTGCATATATGCCATCATGCAAGAGTGTCCGAGTAAGTGTCCGAGTGTTCGAACCAAAATTCTTGAGAAATGGCAAGTAAACACCATATTTACATATCTGCCATCATGGAAGAGGGTCCGAGTAAGTGTCCTAGCGTTCGAATCCTAATGCATGAGAAATGACAAGCAAACACCATAATTACATATCTGCCATCATGCAGGAGGGTCTGAATAAGTGTCTGAGTGTTTAAACCCTAATGCATTCGAAATGGCAAGTACACACCATAATTACATATCTGCCATCATGCAAGAGGTTCTGAGTAAGTGTCCGTGTAGTTAAACCCTAAAGCATGAGAAACGGCAAGTAAACACCAGAATAACATATCTGCCCTCAGGCAAGCGGCTCCCAGTAAGTGTTCGAGTGTTCGAACCCTAATTCAGGACAAATGGCAAGTAAACACCATAATTACATAGCTGCCATCACGCAAGAGGGTCCGAATAAGTGTCCGAGTGTT